CATAAGCTATTCTCCTTCCTTTTATGGCTAAACTCCTTGAAAAGACCACATGTATCAGGTGCCTCCATTTCCTTTTCTGTCATTCTCTTCTTAACTCTCTGTAGTCTGAGTTCTGACCTCATCATTCAACTGACACTGCTCTCTGGAAAGTCCTGTTGTAGTGGTGGGGGCCTAAAGTCTGCAGCACTCTGCCTACAGATACTCCAGAGGCCCCTTAAGTCTATGGCACTCTGAGTTTTGTAAAAAGTAAAGCAAGGGGTTAGATGGTGGGGCTCAAACTGTTCAGTATTCTGAGTGCAGACATGCTAAGAGAGGCCCAAGAAATTCTAGTCAGGAACAATCAGGTCCCAATCACAATATCTAAGAGGGTGCATGTGGTGGGGGTGGTACTGGTGGACAGCGTGGAGTCTAGCTATTGCATAAAGACCTAAAACAAGAATTGAGGCTGGACTTCTAAGTAAGCAAGAGAAGATACCATATACTGTGAAAAAATACTGAGTCAAGAGAAACCCATGAAGTAAAAACCCAGAAGAACATAACTCCAGAAGAACTATAAGCAAAGTAGCAGGGAAAATGGTTTGGCCACAAGGGCTATAAAAATAGCTGTAAGAAATGAAGAAAGAGATAAGAAATGAAATTATAATTAAAATAAGAGCTCTGAAAGAAATAATTGGAAGAACTAATAGCTTGAAACAGAAGGAAAATTTCACTCACATAATGGACTCTCTAAACAACAGAGGGGAGCAAAAAAGAATTTAATGATCCTTTAGAGAGAACTAGAAATATTATGACAAAGTAAAAAGATTTAAAAAAAATAAAAGGAAATGCAAAGTATCTACTGTTTTAACAACTGACCTGGAAAATAGGTCAAGGAAAGAAAATTTAAGAATCGTCAAAGTTGGGGTAGAGACAAGATGGTGGATAAAATTGAACATTTCTACCTGAGCTCTCCCAACCCAACCCTCTAAACAACTTTTTCCAAATGCCTCAAATTGGGGCAGCTAGGTGGCACAGTGGAGAGAACTCTGGCCTTGGAGTCAGGAAGACCTGAGTTCAAATCCAACCTCAGACACTTGACACTTACTAGCTGAGTGACCATAGGCAAGTCACTTAACCCCAACTGCCTTACCAAAAAGAAAAAAAAAAGCCTCAAATAAAATTCTGAGTGGGATAAAAAAAAAAGTCAAAGTATCTCGTTTTCTCAGTCCAGGGCAGCTTAGGAAGGCCTAAGAGATGTCTCTGTGTGAACAATGGGATGGAAGCTAGCCAGGAGTGCCTGGAAGAAGTACCAGCTGTGGGACCTGAAGGCTGTGGCAGCAGAAGCAGCAGTGCTGGCAACAAGAGAGGTAAGGAGACTAAACTGCTGGTCAGAAAGATATTACAGAGGACCCCTATTGAGTTTAAATTAGATTAGACCCCAGTTGAGATTAGATTACAAAAATTTTGTACAGGATTTACAAAGTTAGTATAACTTCCTCCAGATCTGTTCAGGAGTACATGAATAGGAGCAGAGAAGCCAGAGGGTAGGAGTAATGCCATTAGAACCAGAAAGACAACATGCCCACAGTATAAGAAAATGTACCTCCCTTCCTACCTTATTACAGAGGTGGGGTGCTAGGGGTGTAGAATGTTGTATATTCTGTTGGGGTGGTTAATATGTTGATTAGTCTAGTGAAATGTATTGTCTTTTTTAAAAAAAATTTTAAACAAGGGAATGTTTATTGAATATAAGAGGGTATGAGGTCATTTTGTTGATATCCTTTGAGACCAGCCTTTCCATTGTGCTTAATGAAGTCTGAGTAGGATGGGATGAGATTTGGGAACCCCACAGGCTAGATAAGGATACCTGACCTTTAGAGAGAATCACTATTAGTGGAACCAAGAGAGCGGAGTAAAAGCAGTAATTTGCTTGAGCTCTCCACCAAACCCCTCCAAATACCTGCAAAAAATGGCTCTAAACAAATTCTAAAGTATCAGAACCCACAAAAAGGCAGAGTGAAACAAATTTCCAGCCCACGATAACCTGGATGGTTGATTGGAAAGGTATATCATGCCAGGTATATCCTTTCAGGCAGGGAGAGGAACGCAGTTGGGTGTAGGCGCGCAGGCAAAACAGGTTTTAGTGAATCTGGAGCAGCTTGTAAAGGATTGAATCACAGGCAGCTGTGGCGGTTTCCAGACTTCTCAACCCACAAATGCCAAAGACAACTTAGAAGGTCAGTAGGAAAAGTCTGTGATTGTGGTCAGAGAGAAGCTCAGTCCCAGCACCAGTCCCTGTGCATGGCCCTGGGGCAGTAGCTGCTTCCAGAACTTCAGGCCCACAGACTGAGGGGGAATGGAGTAGCTGATCAGAGGGAGATTGCAGGGATCTCTTTGCTGGTGCAGGATTCTCTTGCTTTGCCTGTGCTTGGATATGGGTTACAGTTCTGGGTGGCAGTCCTGGGGTGAGGAGGAACACTGGCATGGTGGAGCTTGTAGTGGTGGTGAAGAGAAAATCCTGCTCACAGTTCCAAGGCAGAAAATAGTGCTTGAGGTCACTCATAAACCAGAGCACAGGCCAGGAAAGGAGTAAACACCTTGCCCCTTATCATACCACCTTGGAAGAACTGAAAATTTACAGGTCCTCTCAAAACAGCTGCACAAAACTCCCTGAAGCTTGGGTCAGTACATTCTCCACACTGGAAGCAGACCCCTACTTTAACAAAGAGTTTATAACTCAAGTAATTGGCTGGGTTCATGAGCAAACATAGTAAAAAGAGTCAGACCACAGAATTTTTCTTTGGTGACAAAGAAGATCAAAACATACAGCCAGAAGAAGACAACAAAGTCAAAGCTCCTACATCCAAAGCCTCCAAGAAAAATATGAATTGGTCCCAGGCCAGGGAAGAGCTCAAAAAAGCTTTTAAGAAGCAAGTAAGAGAAGTAGAGGAAAAACTGGGAAGAGAAATGAAAGTGATGCAAGAAAATCATGAAAAACAAGTCAACAGCTTGCTAAAGGAGACCCAAAAAGTACTGAAGAAAATAACACCTTAAAAATAGCCTAGCCCAAATGTCAAAAGAGGTCCAGAAAGCCAATGAGGAGAAGAATGCCCTAAAAAAAAAATTGGCCAAATGGAAAAGGAAGTACAAAAGCTTACTGAAGAAAATACTTCCTTAAAAATTAGAATGGAGTAATTGGAAGCTAGTGACTTTATGAGAAATCAAGACACTGTAAAACAAATCCAAAAGAATGAAAGAATAGAAAACAATGTGAAATATCACATTGGAAAAACAACTGACCTGGAAAATAGATCCAGGAGAGAGAATTTAAAAATCATTGGACTATCTGAAAGACATGATCAAAAAAAGAGGCTACAGATCATCTTTCAAGAAATTATCAAGGAAAACTGCCCTGATATATTAGAACCAGAGGGCAAAATAGAAATTGAAAGAATCCACCAATCACCTCCTGAAAGAGATCCCCAAAGGAAAACTCCTAGGAATATTGTAGCCAAATTCTAGAGTTCCCAGGTCAAGGAGAAAATATTGCAAGCAGCCAGAAAGAAACAATTCAAGTATTGTGGAAACACAATCAGGATAACACAAGATTTAACAGCTTCTACATTAAGGGACCAGAGGGCTTGGAATATAATATTCCAGAGGTCAAAAGAGAGATAGGATTACAACCAAGAATCACCTACCCAGCAAAACTGAGTATAACTCTTCAGGGGAAAAAAATAGATATTCAATGAAATAAGGGACTTTCAAGCATTCTTGATGAAAAGACCAGAGCTGAATAGAAAATCTGACTTTCAAATACAAGACTCAAGAGAAACACGAAGAGGTAAACAGGAAAGAGAAATCATAAGGGACTTATTAACGTTGAACTGTTTATATTCCTGCATGGAAAGATGATATTTGTAACTCATGAGACCTTTGTCAGTATTAGGGTAGTTGAAGGGAAAAAATTATATGTATGTACATATATATATATACACACACACACAAACACACATACACACACACTATATATACACATACATATATACATACATACATACATACATACATACATACATACATAAATAGAGGGCACAGAGTGAGTTGAAGATGAAGGGGTGATATCTGGAGAATAAAATTAAAGAGGTGCGAGAGGACTATACTGGGAGAAGGAGAAAGGCAGAGGTAGAATGGGGTAAATTATCTCACATAAAACAGACAAGGTGTTTACTCCTTTCCTGGCCTGTGCTCTGGTCTATGAGTGACCTCAAGCACTATTTTCTGCCTTGGAACTGTGAGGAGGATTTTCTCTCTATCACCACTACAAGCTCCACCATGCCAGTGTTCCTCCTCACCTCAGGACCACCACCCAGAACTGTAACCCAGATCCAAGTACAGGCAAAGCAAGAGAATCCTGCACTAGCAAAGAGATCCCTGTAATCCCCCTCTGATCAACTATTCCATTCCCCCTCAGTCTGTGGGCCTGAAGCTCTGGAAGCAGCTGCCGCCCCAGGGCCATGTACAGGGTCTGGGACTGGGACCGTGCTTCTCTCTCACCATAATCACAGACTTTTCCTACTGACCTTCTAAACTGTCTTTGGCATTTGAGGGTTGAGAAGTCTGGAAGTTCTTCCAAGTTACAGTGGAGGGGAAATGGGGAAAGGTGAGAAGGAATAAGTGAATCTCATTCTCATTGGATTTGGCTTAAGGAAGGAATAATATACACACTCAATTAGGTATGGAAATCTATCTTACCCTATAGGAAAATGGGGGGGAAGGGGACAAGAGAGCAGGTGGATGATAGAAGGGAGGGCAGATTGGGGGAGGGGGTAATCAGGAGCGAACACTTCTAAGGAGGGACAGGGTCAGAAGAAAGAATAGAATAAATGGAGGGCAGGATAGGATTAAGGGAAATATGCTTACTTTTTCACAACATGACTACTATGGAAGTGTTTTGCATGACTACACATGTATAACCTGTATTGAGTTGCTTACCTTCTCAATGAGGGTGGGTGGGAAGGGAGGAAGGAAGAAAATTTGGAACCTAAAGTTTTAAAAACACATGTTAAAAAAAATTGTTTCTACATGCAACTGGGAAATAAGATATACAGGCAATGGGGTATAGAAATCTATCCTGCCCTACAGGAAAACTGAAGGGGAAGGGGGGGCAGATAGAAGGGAGGGCAGATTAGGGGAAGGGGCATTCTTGGGGTGAGGTGAGGGACAATATGGGGAGAAAATTTGGAACTCAAAATCTTGTAGAAGTGAATGTTGAAAACTAAAAATAAATAAATTGATAAAAATAAAAAATAAAAATAAAGAGAGAATCACTAAGAGAACCATTAATCATATTGTTAGCCTCACTTACCACCTTGGCCCAGTCAACTATGATTGTAAGATCTTTTAATAAATTTGGCTTCAGATATGTACATTCTGTGTCTGAGACATCTTAAATTTCTCTGGTATTGTCAATGACTTAATACAAAATTGTCCAGTTAGTAAGCATTTGTTGATAAATTGCAGCGAAAATGGACAGGAGAATCATATCACTCCTTCTACCTCCAGTAGGTCCCTAAACCCTTGGACTAGGATACATGGATAAAACACTCAAATGCTCTTGGCTGTCAACTTTGCTTTCCTAGAATTTATTATGAAAAATGTTTCTGTGCCTGACTTTATATAGTGTAACAGCTGTTATTACAACTTTTTTTTTGGGGGGGTACAGAAGACCTGTGATTTCATGTGTATAGGAAACTTCCTCTCTCAGTACAGACTGACGTCTGTTTGGTAATCAGAGTGTCTTGGAAATTAGTCAAACCTTAAAGAATTACTTAGGGCTGCTGAAAGATTAAGTGATTTATCCAGGGTCATTATTTTCTTGAAAATGGTTCAGGCAACAGTGTGATGGAGTAGAAGGGGCATTGGATCTGGAGCCAGGAAATCCTGGTGCTAATCTCAGCTTTACAATGTAATCCTAGCATGACTACGGACAAGGCCCTTTCCCTGTGCAAGCCATGGTCTTCTCATTTGCAAAATAAGGGAAATGTTCATCTTTAAGGCCCCTTGCAGCTCTAAAACCTGTGATGCCATAAGTATTCACATACCAACAGTCCCTTCTTATGTGATCCTTACCTATCACTTCCAGTGGCATGTGTCCCTCAGCTTGAATAGTGTTTGAAATGTGATCTGAGAGGTTTGGATGCAGTTTTGCTGTCTTAGAGATGAAGAAAGGCACAGTCGTATGGCCATACTGGTTCAAAGTCAGACGTAACATGGGGATTGTTGTTGACTCTACATCCATTTTAAAGACTTCGATAATGAATATGATAGAAAGCAGAGGAGCAATTGATTGTGCTACCATCATCTTCCAGTTGCGCCAAGTGAATAACACTTTCTTAATAAACATAGCATAGAATTTCTGCCACTGAAGCTTGAACTACAAGACAGAGGAAAGATTAGGAATTACAATGGTTATAGATCTAAGTAGGTAAAACAACTCCAAATCATGTGCAATTTATGGCTCAACAGCAGCTGAGTGATAGAAAGACAACACTTGATATATGAAGGATGACCTTGAACAATAAGCTTCAGCAAAGTAAACAGATATGTCACAACACAAGCATTCTGTTCATTCTGGCACAAGGTATTTCATAAAATGACAGTTCTTATTTATATAGTGCTTTAAAGGTTTGCCAAAAAAAAAGTTTGTAAAGCACTTTACAATTTACTTCAGTGAACATCACAATACTTCTGTAGGGTAGGTGGGGGTAGCTGTTATTATTCCCATTTTATAGATGGGAAAATTGAGGCTCAGAGGCTGTGACTTACTCAAGGTCATACAACTTTTCAATCAGTCACTAAATAAACTTTACTAAGCTATGTACCAGGCACAGTGCTGGGGATGCAAATAAAAGCAAAAGATGGTCTCTGCTCTCAAGGACTATCTAATGGTGGTGACAACATGCAACTATGTCCTAAGTAAGCAATATACAGGATAAATTGGACAGAGGGCTGAAAGAGACCTTAGATCTGTGGCCTCCTTACCAAGGATTTCTTCTGCTTCGTCCTAGAATAGGCACTGTTCAACCTCTTTTTCATTAAAAAAAAATAGGCTGAACTTACCAACTGAAATCTTCTCACTAGAAAAATAATCTCCAAAGAGATAAAAGAGAGAAATATGACTCTTCCTATACTATCTGTCTCCATTGCTCACAAATCAGATTAATCTTCCTTATAAGATGCATCACAGTCTTTCCAGGTATTCCAAAGTGCAAAGAAAACTGTGATTGCTGTCTCTCACAAATAAATATTTCTGTATGCTTATAAAAGTCCAAGTTTCACCTCCATGGTAGTAGAAAAAGCACAAAGTCTGGTTTCTTGTTTGCTGTGTCACTATAGTCAATTCATCCACCCTCTCTGAGCTCCTCTTCTATAAACTATAAAATGGGGATAATAGACCTGTACATACTTCTCCCAAGGTTGTTGTGAGGGTAGAATGAAGTACTGTACAAAAAGCCCCCAAGAGATGACAGCTCTTCTTGGGAAAGCACAACCAGAATTGACACTTTCCTCCTCCTACTTCTAGTCCTTTCAACTCTCTCCTCTGCCTGGTGAAAGCCATGACCAGGATTGATATAATGATAAGAAGAGCTCACTCATATTGAATATGGCGCCTCTGAATTTACAAAGTGCCTGCCTTATCATACCCATTTTACAGATGAAGAAACTTAGAAGCAACCTGTCCAAAGGCACCAAGGAAGTAAACAGACTATATGACTTCAAATTCAGCATCTTTACCCAGTATCTCCTGCACTTGACTTTCCTGAATCTGTTTACCTCTTATGGCTGTTCCGAAGATCAGGTGAGAAAATGGGTGTAAAACAATTTGTAATCACAGAACGATATAGAAATGCAAGTGATTCCCAAACCTGTGAGATTCTTGGATATGACGGAATTACCTTAAAGTTATTTGTCTCATTTACGACAGAACTCTTCTTGGATAAGACAGTGAGATCCATTTTCTTTTTTGATCTGACATTGCTCAGGCCTCTAATAGAAGGGAGATGGATGGACTGGAGATCCATGCTGGAATCGACCTGTTTGCTAACCCTAAATAAAGAAACCATAAAGAATTAATTTCATTTTATTTGTGTAGGGAGATGCCTATCTTTCTGCCTCCGTCTCCATCTCTTATCTGTCTGGTTCTTATCAAGCTGAGTTTCAGCACAACTTCCGAGAACATGACTCTCATGCAGGAAGGACATGATAGACCAATAAAGACTGGGTCTACATGTTCACAGCTGGGCCAGTGGGGCCAGTGGGGACTGATAATAAAAACATTTAAAGCTGAGTTCACACTGATATAGAACATAGGCCCAAAGAGACAGGTGCAAATGATGTGGGGAGAGAGAGAGAGATGTACTGAATTTGTGAAGGGGCTCTCCATTCCTAATTGACTAGGACAAATGGGTCTTTGCAGAGAAGTCATGGTTTGAGTATTAGGATAATATTTATCTCACATGATTACCCTTCAAAACACTAGAAAAAAACCATAGTGTCTCCCTCACTTCCCCAAGTCTTCTCCTCTCCAGGCTAAACATGTCCATTTCCTTCAAATCATCCTCAAACAGCATGTTCTCTAGCCCTACTTCTCCCATCATCCTGCTTCTTTTTACATGAAAAAACAGTATTAGGGACTCCATTTTGCCTTTATCCACTATTTTGTGAAGCTCCTTCAGCTGCTTGTAAGTCACCTGATTTTGGAGAGTACATTCTTTCTCTTTTTGAGAATAGTTTTTGCAATATTATGTATTACTCTTTTTTTTAAATATAAATTTATTTTTAGTTTTCAACATTTACTTCCACAACATTTTGAGTTCCAAATTTTCACCTCATCTTGCCCCTCCCCCCACCCCACGATGGCATGCATTCTGAATATCCCTTCGTCTAATCTCCCCTCTCTTCTATCTCTCCCCCGCTTCTTTTATCCCCTTCCCCTTCTATTTTCCTGTAGGGCAGAATAGACTTCTGTACCACATTTCCTGTATTTCTTATTTCCCAGTTGCATGTGAAAACTTTTTTTTTTAAACATATGTTTTTAAAAGTTTGGATTCCAAATTTTCTCCCTTCCTCCATCCCCACCCACCCTCATTGAAAAGGCAAGCAGCTCAATATAGGTTATACATGTGCAGTAATGCAAAACACTTCCATAGTAGACATGTTGTAAAAAACTAACTCTATTTCCCTTAATCCTATTCTGCCCTCCCATTTATTCTATTCTTTCTTTTGACCCTGTCCCTCCTCAGAAGTGTTTGCTTCTGATTACCCCTTTTCCCAGTCTGCCCTTCTCTCTATCATCCCCCTGCTCTCTTGTCCCTTTCTCCCCCTATTTTCCTGTAGGGTAAGACAGATTTCCATACCCAACTGAGCGTGTATGTTACTCCCTCCTTAAGTCAAATCCTATGAGAATAAGATTCACTCATTCCCTCTCACCTTCCCTGTTTCCCCTCCACTGTAAGACTCTTTCCTTTTCTGTTTTTTTTTTTGTGAAATAATTTACCCCATTCTACCTCTCCCTTTCTTCTTCTTCTAGTATCATCCTCTCTCATCCCTTAATTTTATTCTCCAGATACGACCCCTTAATCTTCAACTCACCCTGTGCCCTCTATCTATCTATCTGTCTATCTGTCTGTCTGTCTGTCTATCTATCTATCTATCTATCTATCTATCTATCTACATATAATTTTTTCCTTCCAACTACCCTAATACTGACAAAGGTCTCATGAGTTATAAATATCATCTTTCCATGCATGAATGTAAACAGTTCAACCTTAATAAGTCTCTTATGATTTCTCTTTCCTGTTTACCTCTTCATGTTCCACTTGAGTCTTGTATTTGAAAGTCAAATTTTCTATTCAGCTCTGGTCTTTTCATCAAGAATGCTTGAAAGTCCTCTATTTCACTGAATGACCATTTTTTCCCCTGAAGAATTATACTCAGTTTTGCTGGGTAGGTGATTCTTGGTTGTAATCCTATCTCCTTTGCCCTCTGGAATATTACATTCCATGCCCTGCGGTCCTTTAATATAGAAGCTGCTAAATCTTGTGTTATCCTGATTGTGTTTTCACACTACTTGAATTGTTTCTTTCTGGCTGCTTGTAATATTTTCTCCTTGACCTGGAACTCTGGAATTTGGCTACAATATTTCTAGGAGTTTTCCTTTGGGGATCTCTTTCAGGAGGAGATCAGTGGATTCTTTCAATTTCTATTTTGCCCTCTGGTTCTAATATATCAGGGCAGTTTTCCTTGATAATTTCTTGAAAGATGATCTGTAGCCTCTTTTTTTGATCATGTCTTTCAGATAGTCCAATGATTTTTAAATTCTCTCTCCTGGATCTATTTTCCAGGTCAGTTGTTTTTCCAATGAGATATTTCACACTGTCTTATATTTTTTCATTCTTTTGGATTTGTTTTACAGTGTCTTGATTTCTCATAAAGTCACTAGCTTCCAATTGCTCTATTCTAATTTTTAAGGAAATATTTTCTTCAGTAAGCTTTTGTACTTCCTTTTCCATTTGGCCAATTTTTTTTTTAGGGCATTCTTTTCCTCATTGGCTTTCTGGACTTCTTTTGACGTTTGGGTTAGGCTATTTTTAAGGTGTTATTTTCTTCAGCATATTTTTGAGTCTCCTTAAGCAAGCTGTTGACTTGTTTTTCATGATTTTCTTGCATCACTCTCATTTCTCTTTCCAGTCTTCCCCCTACTTCTCTTACTTGCTTCTCAAAATCCCTTTTGAGTTCTTCCAAGGCCTGGGACTGATTCATATTTTTGTTGGAGGCTTTGGATGTAGGAGCTTTGACTCTGTTATCTTCTTCTGGTTGTATATTTTGATCTTCTTTGTCACCAAAGTAAGATAATATAGTCTGACTCTTTTTGCGCTGCTTGCTCATGATCCTGGCCAATTACTTGAGTTTTAAATCCTTTGTTAAAGTAAGAGTCTGCTTCCAATGTGGAGTATGTACTGTCCCAAGCTTTGGGGGTTTGTACAGCTGTTTTCAGAGATACTTGTAGGGACCTGTAAATTTTCAGTTCTTCCAAGGTGGTATGATAAGGGGCGAGGTGTTTACTCCTTTCCTGGCCTGTGGTCTGAAGAGGAATTAGGTCAGACAATGGTAATTGTAACCAACCTCTTGCTTAAGGATGGAAGAAGTTGAAAGGAGACAGAATAATTCAAAGTCACCAGATAAAGGGAAGGCCAATGACTCAGCAATGACCTTGCGACAGTAACAATTGTGAGCTACCTTGACAGCCAAGGAGTCCTCCTCCTTCAAAGAGGAGACTTCCACATTTAACTAGTCCTCGTACCTTTGTTGCCTGTAGTCTTCAGATTTTTGAGAAACCAATATAATGTAAAGCCAAGCTAGAAGATGTGAAAACATACCAGCTGAATTCTACAATCAGGATGTAATTTCCCAGGATACAATTTACCAAGATGTAATTCTTTAATAAGGATTGCCTGAAGTTCACCGAGGTCCGTCAAGTTCTGTCAGTCTGATTCTTGGGAACAAGCCTTGGGGACTTAGCTTTACATGGCACAGATATATATGAAGGAAAACAAGCTCTCCCAAAGAACTGCATTCTTCTTTGTAATATTCCTATTTTAATGTTTAGAAAGCCAAATACACTTTTTATAACATTTTAGTTGATATACATGTTAAGAAATCTGGTCCATGTTACCCTGAGAAGGCACCGCCAAACCACTCAGTAAAAACATAACGCTTAATAGTTACTTATGGAATAATGTACTCGGTATATGGCATGTTCAAGGAGGGCTAGACCTTGTGGTGTGAGGCCTTGAAGAGCCCTTTTCAGGGCTGCTGATCTACCTTTGGTGTCTACCTGTTACTCAGCTCTTGCTTGTGGCTTCAAGAAGTTCAGCAGCCATACTCTGGTAAACCAATTTGGCAGATGGGCTAAACCAGGTTAAAAGTAACTGACATGCCTATAAACCTGTTGGTTAGTTAGGCCGATGTCTACCCCAAGCATGTGAAGACTCCTCTCAGTAGAATGGGCAGATGAGAACAATTTGTTCTAACAGCCATGAAGGCAGCTGAAGTAGGCACTGTGGAGCACTTACAGCTTGGTCAGACATCAAAGATGCCAAGGTTATCCACTACATCCTGAGCCATCTCCAGTCATCTTGACTTTTGTCTTGCCACTGGACTTTGAGGACTCAAGAAGAGAAAGAATGAGGCCAAGGACTCTGTGCAACTCTGCCTCACTTAAATTCAACTCATGTGCAAGTAAAAAAACATCACCCTGCAATGTCATTAGTCTTCTTCAAAAATGAAAGACAAATCACAACATGAAGTAGTGATGAAATCTTCAAGTCTGCTATTGTATTTGAAAAAATGAAGCTAACCGCCCCCCTTATTTTTAATTCTGTATGTGTAGATGCTTCAATTTTGTGTTGATGTTAAGGTGCTTTAGAGAATAGAGCCCTTTGAGCCATAATTGTCTAAGGAATAATGCCACTTGGAGGCTTTGTCTCCAGTCATAAGTGATTGTAATTAAATTTTTTATAATTCATCAAAAAAGGGAGGGAATAAGAAGAAGGGTCCCATTATCTTTCTCCATGTCCTGCTAAATTTTGGAGGAAGAAAGAAACGTCTCGTTGCCTATGATAGAATAACGTTTAATAGGTATCACAGTACATTAAAATTTATCATTCTCATTGGGCAAGGAGCTTCCCCCAAATCCATCACGCTCAGTTTCGGAAAAGGGAACTATGAGAAAATGCAAACAAAATAAAATTTAAAGGAATAATTAAAGACATAAAAAAGTCCATAAGAAGACTGAAGAAGGACTGCTGTATCTTATTAAAAGCCACTTACACCATGGACATTTTAAACACAGAGAACTGCATTAGGGTGCTGACTTAACCTGTTTCAAATGATGATTTGATAGAAGAAGTCTTCCTAATAACCTAATTCAATGGGTCTTTCTATTACTTACTTCATTTTCTTTCTTAGGTACAGCTATTATCATTTGCATTTATTGATTCTCCCACTAGTTTCCTAATTTTGTAGTGGTTAAATAATTTTTCATTATTGGCTTTAGAATCCCTTGTGGGGAATTCTGGGGGTCTGGAGCCAACTCTAAGTCCCGCTTTGGAGGCTTTACACTGTTCCCTCCTTGTTCATGCAAACAAAGCCCAGGATTACCCCTTTACTCACCTTAGGAAGACTTCTTCCATAGTGGTGACAGAGGCCCCAAAGCTAGAGATGCCCAGCTCCTCTTGTCTCTCTTCCAGTTCTTCAAACAAAGCTTCAAAACTAAAAGAAGTAAGAGATAAAAAAGGAAAAATTAAAAGTGGCCTCCTTCAGGTGATATTCTGATATTTACTTCTGAGTCTTAGATGTCTTTCTCCCAGGATGAGAAGCAATCACTTGGCAAGAAACTTGTATGGCCACTGTAAGAAATATAAGGGCCAACGTGGTGACAAAGATAAAGAACACAGGCATAGCCCACTTGGGGAATTTCTGATGTAGGAAAGGGATGCCAGTTTGAAGCAAAGTACAATGAGATTATTTTCTGAAATAAAAAAAAATATTCAAAAGATTATTCTAATACTTTGGTTCAAAAACGACCATACAAACTGATGAAAACCAGCAGAGCTAAAGTTTTTCCAAAGGGGTGAGTGAAATGGTTTATCTGTGGAAAATTCACATCTCAGATAAATCAATAATATATCACGAATAAATGGCAGTTAGACTTTACACCAAAAACTTTTTGGTTGGTCTGTCACATCTTTCCCACTCCAATCCATCCTCCAGTCATTCACCCAAAGCAAAGATCTCACCATGTTACAGCTTGCCCCTGCCCTCCCTGTCACTGAACTCCATGGCCAAATCGAGATGCTCTTTGGCATTTAAAGTCCTGCACAGGCTGGCCCTTCCTACCTTTCTAGTCTTCTTACATCTTATTCCAAGAAGTATACAGTCCAACAACACTGGCCTTCTTGCTGTTTTTACACTGTACCTTCCAACTCAGTGCATTTATCACTGCTAACCTCATGACTGAAATGCTCTTCCTCCTTACTTCCTCTCTCCCTTCAAGAGTCAGTTCAAATCCTACCTTTTGGAGGCCATTCCTGGTCCCCCTCTCCCCACTTCTAGTGTCTTCCCTCTGAAATCACTTTCCATCCCCATTTTATATATCTTCTATGTACATAGTTAATTGCATGTTGTCTCCCCCCATTAGAATGGAAGCTCCTTGAAAGTATTTAATGCTGTTGACCCGCTACTTGATACCACTTCCCAACGTAAGTAAATTAGCCTGTTCTGAGAATATAGTGGGTTTTTCCCCTCTGTGTAGCCCTATTCCTGTGATGTGCCCTATTACCTTTCTCCAGCTTTCTCAGGGAAATTGTGATTTGGCACAAGCAGCTTTCAATGGATTAATTTCCTAATGGAAGACACTCCTATACACATGATTTAACTCAGGGAATATAACTTATTCTCTTGTTTCTGTGATCTTTCGAGGAGGAAATGAGAGGAGGGAGAAAGGAGAGGGATGGAGAAAGAGGGGGAAGTCTGAGAGTAAGAGAGAGAATGAGACAGACAAGGACTATCAGAATAAATTGTCTGACTCCATCCAGAAGGTGAAACGGTTACTCATTCCCTGTCTGGAATTAAGATGATACTTTTTGTGACAGCAGCAAACATGAACATATTAGGACAAAAGAATGTTGTCTGTGTTTTGCACTTTCTGTTCTTTTGTTTTTTGTTTTTTCCTTTCTCCTCTTTTCCAGATCAATATTGTTATTGCTGCTGGTGAAGGTATACGAATCTACTTTCTTGTGGATCCACTCAAAAACCCTGTGACTTTCCAAACCAAAAGACACTCTCTAGCCACCATTTCCTCCTATGTGCTGTCTCTTATTAAAATATAAACTCCTAGAGGGTAGGAACTGTCTTGCTTTTGTATTTGAATGACCAACACTTAACATAGTTTTCAGGGGCTGCTAGGTGGTGCAGCAGATAGAGTGCAGGGCCTGGAGTCAGAAAGACTCATATTCCTGAGTTCAAATCTGACCTCAGACACTTATTAGCTGTGTGACCTCAGACAAGTCACTTAACCCTCGGTGACTCAGTTTCCTCATCTGTAAAATGAGTTGGAGAAGGAAATGGCGAACCACTCCAGTATCTTTGTCATGAAGAGTCGGACACAACTGAACAAAAATAAACCCTAGTTTTGGGACATAGTAAACATTTAATAAATGTTTTTTTCTTTCACGCATACATACATTCATTTATTCTTTTCTTTCTGATTCAGACTCCTGGAGGAGAATGGCAGCTCCGGGGACCTAGAAACCAATGACTTCAGTAGGAACAGTGAGAAACAACCAGTGCTATGTAGAATCAGCTGAGGATCTGTAGCTCCTAGAAGTCTGTGGCTGCCGAGTCGCAGGGAATTTAATGGTCTAAATTCTTCTTTAATCTAAGAGCTGAAGACTGGAGGAAAGTGTTCTTCCCCAATTCTTCTTTACATTTTTGATGTGCAAGCTCAGGAAATATTTTTTTTGATACCAAATTCCTAGGAAGGAGTGGGTATGGTGGGGAGAGTTTATATCATATTTTGCATTTTAATTCTATGTTATTAAAGCCATGTGACCCAACCATCCTAAATGAATGTCTGAATCTTTAAGAGGGGGAGATCCTTGAGAGAACACATCCTTAAGGGTAAAGAGCAATGAACCAACATTATAAATACCAAGTTTCATGTTTTAATATTTCATCAATCTTTCATCTCCCAGGGTGGAATGGAGCCTCGAAACGCGGTGAAAAGACAGAATTCTGTAAGAAGTCCTGTTTGGGGTAAGGAGGGAAGCCTGAGCTTGTTGAAGTTGTTAGTGGGTGTGGCCTAAAGAAACGAATGGACGAGAGCGACACCTAGAGGCTAATTCAAACCTTTTGACTTTCTTTTATCTATATACATATGAGCCAATAGTCCAAGTGAATACCAGGCCACAGGTATTCATTTACTCCATGAATACTCCACATGCCAAGGGAGTAGTAACAGAGTCACAAGAGGCAGTGACAGGAGTCTAGAGGTTCCAAGCTCTGGCCTGTCAGAACGACCATCGGCCAGACCTGAGGAAAGCAAAAGGGCAGGAGGAAACTGATTGATTCAGTTGAATTACTCAACCCTATTTAAAGTGGTAAGAGGTTATGTTCTGACACCATTAACTGAGAACATATCTTGATTGAATCAAATTAATTGTAGGCTTTAGACATAGTGCAAAAAAAGTCCTTAATTAACTTTTTTTTTTTATGACATTGGATGAACTGGAGTGACTTTACAAAGGAAGTGTGTTTGAACTGGTTAAGGAAATTTGGTCGCACAAAATAGCAGGTCAGTTTGAAACCTAGAGTTTTAAGTATCTAGCAGCTTAGTGACAAAAACCTTTAGTCAAGCCCTTGAGAAGTAATTCCTTGGGGGATAATGGGAAGAAATGCCCCCCAGCCTGAGTCTTTGGTCTTTTCTCCCCAGTCCCACCACCAGCATGGCTGGGAGGATCCTGGACTTTTCATCAGTGTCCTAGCAGTATTCTTGATACGCCAGGCTGCAACGTCAGCACTGGGATCCAAGACTGGATGCAAGGAAGAAAGGCAAGTTCAAGGACCTGTGAGGAACCCAGCAGAGAAGTTATATAAAAGCTAAGGGGATCATTCTGAGGATTCCAGCAACAGGACTTCTAGGCTCGATGAGTTATCCCTTTGCCATGGTTGTTCTCTAAGCTTAATCTCACTTTTCCCTGGACTCCTTATGTACTTGTGGGAGAATATGTTACAGATTTGGGGGGGGGTTGTTTCATACCAACTGTATCAGTATGGTAAATATCTCTTTCTAAAAACTATTTAAACTTGGCTGATTTGTTGATATCAACCAGTAATAATGGAGAAGAAACATGGTAATGGAAGCTTATGAAATATAGAAAGATCCTTCTCTGCAACCCCTTAGGGCTATCTCTAGGGTTTTACAGGATAAGAATTAGCCACCTGAGCTCTAAAGATTCAACTTGCTGGTTCAAGTGGGATAAGTGGAGGTAGGGAGAGAAGTGCCAGAGCATGTGCTACACCAGGAAATCATTTCTGAACACCAAGCAACTAAAAACCATCAGCATTGTCCTTACTGGATCCATCATACCTGTGTACATTTTCTTTGGGCAAGATAAATGATAACTCAGCTCCCATATTTCTCTCCATAGTGGCATTTGGTATATGTTCACGAATCAGAATTTCAATTTCATGTACATTACAGTGTTGCCCCTTCACCATGATCATATGGTATCCTGCACCTGAGAGAAAATATTTAAAAGACTAAATGAACTATTTTGGTTTTGACAGTTCCTCACTCTTGGACTTCAGTTACTTTAACTTAGTCATCTCTATAGGAGATGCAGTTTGATTACAATTGTAAGACTTTTATCTCTGGATCTCCTTGATCCTGCTCCTCAGTCTTGTACCCAACTACTCAGCTGGATCACAAGGTTAGAGGAATCTGGGGGGGGGGGAGAAGAGGCATAATAAATACAAGGGACCTGTGTTCTCCATAAGGTTTTAGGATGATCTTGTATCTAGGTAGGTAAGGATACTCTTTGGACTATGTATCCCAAAAGGCTTTTGGGGTAAAAAAGAACATGTTTATTGGGAGCAGGTCCTGAATATGACTCCTCCTCGTGTGTGTGTGTGTATGTGTGTGTGTGTGTGTACATGTGTAAGGCATGGCATATATGCATATATGTTAAGAAAAAAGAAAGAACAGCCAAATAAAGAAAAAGATGAAAGAAAAAAGAGACCTTTTGGAACACAGAGGATGGAGAAAAATGTATGCCCTAGGTCTCCTCCCCTCAGTTCCTCTTCTGCTAACAGGTCACAGACAAAGGTATTTACCCACAGCAGCCAGTCAAATCCAAACCCTTTCCTTCTGGTAGAAGTGGCAGAATGAGGTGGATTGTTTGGGAATGAGCAGAGCTCACAGAAGCAACCTTGAGAGACGGTTAAGATTCCTGTGACAGTCTGAGGCATATCGTGAGGGCCAATACAACCCAAGAATTTCCAAAAGGTTTTCTATTACCCACTGTAAGTGACTGAGCTATTCCCTCTCCTGAAAAGGTTGTATGACAGAAAGATTAATGAAGAGGCACTGAAGTACTGAGGAAACGCAGAAAGGGATTTGATGTGAAAATGGTTGTTGTGCTTCACATTGTCTGTTTTTGGATTCTTCTCTATATTACAATGCTTTCTACTTTAATTTTTAAAAAAATATATCTCCTCTTGGATAATCTTTTCTTTCTGAGTTTTTAATCACACTACTTTTTTCTTGAGTTTCTTTTTAAAATTAATTTTAAGAAATTAACCAAATGACCTAGATGTAAAAAGATATTACAAGAAAATTTGAAGAACATGGAACATATTACTTATTAGACTTATGGATAGGTGAACAATTTATGAGTAAACAAGAGATAGAGAGCAAAGTTACGTGTAAAATGGATAATTTCAATTACATTAAATTAAAAAGGTTTTGTACAAATAAAACAAATGTAGCCCAAGATCAAAAGGAAAGCAGAAAATTGGGAAAAATTTTTATAGACAGTTTCTCAGATAAAGTTCTCATATCTCAAATATATAAAGAACTTTATCAAACTATAAAACGAGTCATTCCCCAGCTGATAAATAGTCAAAGGATATGAACAGGAAGTTTTCCAATGAAGAAATCAAAACAAATTAGTGAAGGAGGAGCCTGGTCGAGCAGAAGAAGAATTAAGAAAGATCCGTGGGTTCCTCATACAATTTCCTTTTTATTTCTTGTCTGAAGAAAACTTGCTGCCTTCTGTGGGAACAAAAGAATCCATAGTGCCCATGGAGGTCTGGACTTAGGAGGATGGAAGATGTCTTCCCTGGTCCCCAATTTTGCACACAGGGCCAGGCTCTCCCCACCAAAGAGATCTCTGCCAACCTTCCCGGAGCTTTTAAAGAATTTAGATCTTCCAGACAGAAAGAGGCACAACTAGAGTTGTGACGACACTGAAAATCAGAACCAGGCAGTGTCTTAGATAATGTGCGTGTTCGACACAGAACACTGACTTGATTGGTGATGTGACATTTGATTGCGTGAATCCCACAAGAGGGAATAAATAATCCTAAGTGGGAATGTAGAAGTTGTGCCTACAAGTGTGCAGGGTGGCTGGAGGGGCCTTGGACCTGCTTCCCCTTCTGTGACTGCTTGAGCTGCTCAGGTCCCATCAGTCATCAAGGTGCAGCTTTAGATATGATCTGCACCCAAAGACAAGATTGCTTGATGCTGCTGACAGCCCACAAGTGGTCCTTGGCCATCCATTCCCAAAGTAACATTGTTCACCCAGCAAGAGGGATTAGCAATCGTCCCACTCGGTTAAGTGTTGTTGGCCCTTTCTCTTTTTCAAGGAATGAAAGGGCTGAGCTGACTTATCTCTTATTGCAATCCCACATTAGGTGCTGCCTTTCCCCCAACCCTCAAAGCCTTGTTGTTTTGTCTGACCTCACCCCAATAAGAGAGGAACAGAAGCTGTAAACAGAAAAATTTAGGTTTCGTATCAGGAAAAATGCTCTAACAATGAGAGCCGTCTAGTTGTAGAATGAATGGGCCATCTAGAGAAATGGTGGGTCCCCCTCCTTGGAGGTCTCCAAGCTGAGGCTGGAGGAACTTTTGTTAAATATGTTAGAGTAGGGATCCCTTTGGTGTATGGGCTGGCTGGCTAGCCCAAGAGGCCCCTATCCAACTCTGAAATTCTGAGAAAAGATTTCTACAGGCTTGTTGTCAACCCAGGAATTATTAAGGTGGGCCACTGTGACAGAGGCAGGCTGACCAATCAAATTTGAAAACATGAAAAAAATATGAAAAAATGTTCTAAATCATTACTGATGAGAGAAATGCAAATTAAAACGACTTTGAAATACCATTTTACACCGATTAGATTGACTAAAATGACTGAAGGGGAAAGTGATAAATGTTGGAAGGGATATGGAAAAATTGATACACTAATTCATTGTTGGTAGAACTGTGAACTGATCCAACCATTTTGGAGAGCAATTTTGAATTATGCCCAAAGAGTTATTAAACCACCTATACTCTTTGACCCAGTAATGCCACTACTAGGTCTATTTCCAAAGATGATCAGGGAAAAAGGAAAAGAACCTATATATTCTAAGATGTTTATAGAAGGTCTCTTTGTAGTGACAAAGAACTGGAAATTGAAAGGATGCCCATTAATTGGGGAATGGTTAAACAAGCTGTGGTATATGATTGTGATGGAATACTACTATGCTGTCAGAAATGATGAGCTCAAAGATCTTAGAAAAACATGGAAAGACTTGCACAAAATAATGAAGAGTGAAATGAGCAGAACCAAGAGAACACTGCATATAGTAACAGCAGTGTTATTTTAAGAATGACTTTGAGTGAATAAGTCATTCTGACTATTATAAATACCCACATTAACTATAAAGGACACAGGAAGAAAGATTTTATCTGCATTCAGAGAAAGAACTGATAAACAGAAGTATGTAGAGAATAATTTTACATATACATACTTATTTGTGTCTAATGGTAGCCATCTCTGGGGTGTGGGGAGGGAATAAAAAAGGGAGGGGGAAGGAAATTTACATAACTTTGCTGTGGATTTAAAAGGAATAGAAAGTTGTACGTATTGGATTGACGGTTTCATGTGCAATTATCTTTTATTGTACTTATGGAAATATATGTTTTATTCCATAAATTAAAAAATTTTAACCAAAGTCTGCCTTTTCTTCCTTCCATCTCCCCCTTAAAATGAAAAAGTCAAAGACCTCACAACACACACACATGTATATATAATCAAGGCAAACATTTTTCCGCACTACCTATGTCCAAATATATACTTGGGTATATATACACATATATATTTATGTGTGTATGTGTAAATACATACACCCACACATATGTGGGTACGTTTCAATTTGTACTCTGAGTCTATCACCTCTCTGTTGGGAAGTAGTAGTATGATTCACCACGAGTCCTCTGGAATCATGGTTGTTTATTGCACTGATCAGAGTTCTTAAGTCTTTCAAAGTTATTTTTACAATATTGTTATTGTATAAATTGTGTTCCCAGTTCTGCTCACTTCACCCTGTATCAGTTCAGAAAAAGTCTCCTCAGATTTCTCTGAAACTATCCACTTTCTTTTTTTATAGTACAATAGCATGCCATAACATTAATATACCAATAATTTGTTCATCCATTCCTTAATTGATAGAGACTCCTCAGTTTCCAGTTCTTTGTCACCACAAAAAGAGCTGCTATATATATATATATATTTTTACATATGAATTCTTTTTCTCTTTCACTAATTTCTTTGGTGTATACACCTAGTAATAGTATAACTAGGTCAAAGTGTACACAGTTTAAGAAATTTTGGGGCACAAATCCAAATAGCTTTCCAAAATGGCTGGAGCAATTCACAGATCCACAGTGCATTAAGGTATCTGTTTTACCACACTCCTCAATTTCTAATTCCTTGCCACCACAAAAACATCTGCTATATCTATTTTTGTAGATATGGTTCCTTTTCCTCTTTGGTCTCTTTGGAGGTACAAATCTAATAGCAGTATTGCTGGGTCAAAGGTTATATATAGTTTAATAGCTTTTTGGACATAGTTCCAATTTGCTTTCCAGAATGGCTGGACAGTAACAGTGTAAGAGTGTATCTGTTTTCCCGTAGTCCTTACTGCATTTGTCAATTTCCTTTTTTTTTTTTTTTGGGTCAACATTACCAATCTGGTGGGTATAAATTGTAACCTCAGCATTGTTTTAATTTACACTTCTCCATATTAGTGACAAATCATTTTTCATTCAGTTTCTTTATACTTCTTCCTTTGAAAACTGTCTGTTCATATTCTTTGACTATTTTTCAACTAGGGAATGGCTTTTTCCACTTTTTCCTGGTTCTCCTCCAACATCAGGATGGCTCCTTCTTAAATTTCTTTGCTGGATCATTATGCAGATTATGACTGCTAACTATAGGCAGGATTGCCACGACTTGGTCCTGGGTCTGTTCTTCCCTTACTATAGTCTCTTTCTTGGTGATCTCATTAGTTATCATGGGTGTACGTAATTTGATGAAGATGACTCACAGATCTATATATCCAAATCCAATCTCTCTTGACATTTAGTCATATCACCAACTGCCTTTTGGAAATTTCAACATAGATATCTAAGAGATCATTCAAAATCAACATAAATTAATGAAATAGAACAGACTGTCATATTCCCTAAACCTTC